GACACTGGCGCTGGAGGAGCTGGGCGCCCCCCGCGCGCCGGCCGCGGGCGTAGAGCGCTGGTTCCCCCTGCTCGGGGCACCAGCCGGCGCTGCCCTGAGGGCTCGCATCCGGGCAAGGCGCCTGCGCGTGCTGCCGTCGGAGCGCTACAAGGAGCTGGCGGAGTTCCTCACTTTCCACTACGCGCGCCTCTGCGGGGCACTCGAGCCCGAGCTGTCCGCGCAGGCCAAGGAGGAGTTGGCGGCTGCCATGGTGCGCGTGCTGCGGGCCACCGGACGGGCACAGGTGCGGCGCCGGGACCGGGAGGACCCGGGTGACCAGACCTAATGTCACCTGCGAGGGGCGGGGTACCCTGGGGGCGGGGTCTGAGCTTCAGCTGCGAAGGGCGGGGCCTGAGCTGAGCCTCAGTGCTGAAAGGCTTGAATTTCTGCTCTGAGGGGTGGAGGTTCCCATATGTTGGGTGCCCCAGCAGTGTGGACCAGGCCTGAGGGAGCGGGCCTGTCCCCAGGTGAGAGGGACTTGCCAAGGGCAGGGATTCCCCCTGGCTCAGTCTACATCCAGGCAACATGAACCCTGTTATGCCCAGGCACTGGTGACAGACCTGGGAACCGCTGAGTTGGCACGCAGTGGAGGTCGTGAGGCGCTGCTGTTCAGGGAAAATACATTGGCTACCAAGGCCATCGATGAGTACATGAAGCTGGTGGCACGGGACTACCTCCAAGAGACACTGGGTGAGCCGTGTGTATGTATGTGTGGGGGGCTACCAGAAGCTTGATGGGAGGACTAGGGGACCCCAGGGGAAATCTGGGAGTCCCTGGGTAACCTGGATTCTGGTAGTGGGCGATGCCTTGGAGGTGCTGGGATCCTGGAGGGAACTGGGGACTCCCTGAGATGTTAGGTGCCTCCAGAGAAAAATGGAGATAGAGTTGGAGGTTGGGTCTGGTGGGTCTGGTGGTTATGACCCTGGCCCATCTGGTTGTGCTGTGCTGCAGGGCAGGTTGTGCGGCGTCTCTGTGCCTCCACCGAGGACTGCGAGGTGGACCCCAGCAAGTGCCCATCCTCAGAGCTTCCCCAGCGCCAAGCCAGACTGCAAAATAGCTGTGAGGAGGTCTTCAAGAACATCATCCACTCCTATGAGTAAGGATCAGGGCTCCAGCACCTGAGCCTGCCCTCTCCTCCCAGCCACTGTTCTAGTTGCCAGATAAAATACAGGGTGCCCAGTTAAATGTGATGCAATATTTGGGACATACTTGTATTTTGAAACTATTTATTTTTTATCTGAAATGTTATCCTGTAGTTTTATTTGCTAACTCTGGTAACTCATTCCCAGTGTTATGCCACCTAACCCGATTGTAACCTGGGGTGCAATTCCTTGTCCTCTAACCACAGGTGACCACATACCCTAATTCCATGCCACCTGACCCCAGTTATCATAGAACCTCAATCCTATGACCTCTGATTTCAGGTGATGCCATGCCCTCAATCCCATGGCCCCTGTCCTTAAGTAGTCCTGTACCCCAAATCCCATGCAACTGATCACAGGAAACCTGGGATTCCGATTCCTTGACCTGTGACCCTAGGTTAACCTGTATGCCTAATCCCATGTCACCTGGGGCATCAATACCATGATTTCTGTACCTAGGTGACCCTGTGAGCCCATTTTATTCATATCATGTACTCTGTCTGGCACCACAGTCTTGTTATAACTAGATTCCAAGCTCATGGCCTCTGTCCCCATGTGAGCCTATATCCCCAACTCCAAGATTACTGACTCCAGAGGTCACCACAATAACACCACCATAAATCCTGGCCCCAAGCATCATTATTCCTGATATCTCTAATATTAGAACTCAGAATGCAGGTGACTCCTGATCCCTGACCTTAGGAATTTGATCATCCATGAACTTTATGCCCATACGCTCCCCCTTTGACCATTGCCTATTCTGTCCCAGCTGGTTCCCAGCAGAGCTGGGCACTGTGTTCTCAGGCTGGCGAGAAGCATGCAAAGAACGAGGCTCTGAAGCACTGGGCCCCCGACTAGTGTGTGCCTCTCTCTTCCTGCGGCTCCTGTGTCCTGCCATCCTGGCACCCAGCCTCTTTGGCCTGGCACCAGAGCACCCAGCACCTGCCCCAGCCCGCACCCTCACATTGATTGCCAAGGTCATCCAGAACCTCGCCAACCGAGCCCCGTAGGTGCTGGAAGGTTGGGGGGCATGGTGGGACCGTGGGGGTGTCAGGTACCTGATCTGATCCACCCAGTTGGACTCTGACTCAGGTTTGGTGAAAAGGAGGCCTACATGGACTTTATGAATAGCTTCCTGGAGAGTCATGGACCTGCCATGCAACGCTTCCTAGACCAAGTGGCAATGGTGGATGTGGACACAGCACCCAGTGGTTACCAGGGCAGCAGTGACCTGGCCCTCCAGCTGGCGGTCCTGCATGCCCAACTCTGTACCATCTTTGCTGAACTCGACCAGGTATGGCCTGAGCCTAGAGCCCAGAAAATGGGGGTAGGGAGGCAAGAGGGTAGGGAGGCAAGAAGGCAGGGAGCTTCTGGCCTCAAAGAACTTGCTCAGCATCCTCCCTGTATGCCTTGACAGGCAACCCGTGACAGCCTGGAACCGCTTCCCACCATCCTTCAAGCCATTGAGGAAGGCCGGCCTGTACCTGTGTCTGTGCCAATGCGTCTTCCACCACCCCCATCCCAGGTCTACTCCAGGTAACCTGCCTACCTCCAGTCTGGTCCAGTTCTGATAGGTGGGAGCAGAGGCAGGGCCAAAGGCAAGCTCAGGGTCAGACTGGAATCAGAGGTAAAGGCAGGATTATGTGAAGGCAAGACTATGTCAGGGGTCAGGGATCGGGTCACATTGGAGTGAGTGTCAGAAACGATGTTGGATGGAGGTCAGAGACTGGAGATAGGGTCATCCAAGTGGTCAGGGAGAGACTCACAGTGTAGTCAGAGAGCAAGCACAGGATCAGATTGAAGTCCAAGATGGGAATTGGTCATTGCAGTGGTCAGAGAGAGGTCACATCTGGTGTCAGAGGGAGAAAGTGGCATTGTGGTGAGCGAATGATCAGGTTTCAGTGAGAGGCTGTGGATGGGGTTAAATCAGGGGTCAGATGTTAAGATAAATCATCATCAAGGGTCAGGGACAGGTTCATATTGTAAGCAGAGGTCAGGGTCAGATGGGTCAAGGGTATGGTCAGAGTTATGTCTGGGGTCAGAGGTCAGGGACCGTGGTCTTTCAGGGGGCAGAGTCAGTTTAAATGTGTATATATATACACATATATATATGTTTTTATTGATTTCAGAGAGAGAAGGGGAGAGGGAGAAAGAGATAGAAACATCAATGATGAGAGAGACTCATCCATTGGTTGCCTCCTGCATGCCCCCTACTGGGGATGGAGCCAGCAACCTAGGCATGTGCCCTGACCAGGAATCCAACCTTGATCTCCAGGTTCATGGGTCCATGCTCAACCACTGAGCCACACTGGCTGGGCAAGACAGGGTCCGTTTAAAGTCAGGGGTTGGGGGTAAGAGGGGATCGGTTAGGAAGGAAGAGGATACCCTTGTGAGCAGAGTTTGAGCCCAAGGCCAAATTGGAATTGATGTTACAGAGAGGATCAAGTTAAGGGTCACATTGGGTCAGAGTTCAGGACAAGGCTAGAGAAGAGTCAAAGGTTATATTCGGGATGTGTCAAGGGTCATAGAGAAGACAGTATTGTCAGAAGTCCAGGACAGGGTCAGAGGTCAAAATGTGATTCCATCAGTGACTGGGTCACATAGAAGTAAAAAGATCATGGGTGTGGCCATTTCGGGTCAGAGCTAGGGGTGGGATCAGCTCAGGGCCAGTCAAGTGTCTGAGCTCCTCCATCCCACCCCCAGCTTTTCCGCAGGGAAGAAGCCCGGCTTCCTGCCCCCTCGGGACCTCCCCAAGCACACCCCTCTCATCTCCAAGAGCCAGTCCCTGCATAGCGTTCATGGCTCAGGAAGTTGGGCCCGGCAACGGCCAGATGAGGAGCGGCCCCCACGGCTGCCGCGGCAGGTGCAGCGCACGCAGAGCGTGCCGGCTGGCCGCCCTGCTCGCCGCCGCCCGTCTGCAGGACCTCGGCCGCGACCCAAAGGCTCCCTACGCACCGGCCCCACGCCCCGCGGCAGGCCCTGGATCGGGGCTTCAGCCTCGCTGCCCCGGAAGCCCTCAGTACCCTGGCAGCGCCAGCTGGACCAGCCGCAAGACAGAGACCAGGCGCTAAGCACGCTCCGACCCGTGGGCAAGGTGAGGTCCAACCCAGGTCCACTCGTGTAGGGGAGAGACGAGCCTGGAGGCCAGGCAGGCCTGGGTTCAAATATGAGCTCCCTGGGTAGTGTTACCCTGGGGCCTAGTCCAACCCTCTCTGAGCCTCAGTTTCTTCCTCTGTACAAGAGGGCGATGTTCCCCAAGAGGCAGGGCAGTGAGGAGGCAGAGCGCAAGGAACTGGAAGGTCAGGGTCTTCAGGGAGAAGAAACGGCGGGACGGCGGGTCAGGTTACAGTGGCTCCCTCCCCTACAGCTGGCAGAGCTGCGGTGCGAGGTGGCCGCCCTGCGAGAGGAACAGAAGGTGCTGTCCTGCCTCGTGGAGTCGCTGGGCACCCACATCCGGGTCTTGACTGAGCAGCAGCAGCAGCTTCGCGGCCAGGTGGAAGACCTGGACTCCAAGCTTGGGGGAAGGTGAGCCCTGCCTCTCCATTAGCTCCGCCCCCAGGGGTACCGCTATATGTAATCAGCACGGTCCATCCCTAGGTGAGCCCGCCCCCAGGTCCTAGGCAGGTCGTCTTATCTGGCCCTGTCCCTCAATCAGGCCCTCCCAAACAGCTTGGGCCAAGCCCTGAGTCTGGGCACGCCCCCACACCGGTCACCCACCCACCCAGGACTGGCCGAGCCCCGTCTCTAAAGGTTTCGTAGGTCCTTTCATCCTAGGCGTTCCAGGATCATATTTAGCCTCTTCAAGTTTACGTAGGTCCAGCCCTCTAGTCTGGACAGACCCCCGCCTCCAATTCCAAGCCCCGCCCCGGATCCCTTGCTCTCCAATCAGGGGCTGGAGGGGAGTTCCCCAACCCCTTGCCCCTGATTCGCACAGGACCTCGCGCTCGGATCCACAGCACGACACGCCTAGCAGTGAGGCCCACGGGCTGAAAAATCTGGTGAGACCCCCTGCCTGAATCCGGGGGCAGATCTGGGAGGCTAGGAAACGAGCCTGGCAACCCTCCCCTGGCTCTGAGCCCACTGCCTCTGCCTCTCCAGGAGCACCGCCTGGCTGAAATGGAGAGTTCTCAAGCCCAGCTGAGGGATGCCATCCAGAGCCTGCAGCATCTTCCAAGGTCTCTGGGGTCCAAGAGCCAGCCCTTGACTCTCAAAGCACCCTGCGTTAACGGAGACACCACCTGAGCTGCCCACTTCACCCCACGTGGTCTGGGAGCAAAGAGATACCTGCTTAGGGGCCATGCCTCAGCCCTACATGGCCTACAGTGTGGAGTGGAGCTGTAGGTGGCAACCAGCCTGGCACTTTGAGGCTGCCCAGTAAAATCTTAATTTCAGTAAAATCGATGATCTCTTTGTCTCTAAGTGTTCCCAATCAGAAAGCACCCTCCTCCCCAGTTCAGGTCCCCAAATTCTCCCCTAATTGGAGGGCTCATGAAGGGGGGGGGGATGTAAAGAGATTCTCACCAACTGTGTAATTTCAGGCCTTCACTCTCTCAGAGCCTCCAATGTCCTTATCTGAAAATTGGATCTAAAAATCCTTACACAGTAAAAGACCCATAGTTTAAAGTATTCAAAAAAAGGTATTCATTATTTGTTAGGCCCAACACCTACTTCTCAATGAAGCCCAAATCCCACCTCCATCAACTCCCAGGCCCCAAATGAGAGCATCTTCCAGGGCCCCTAAATCCCATACCAGCTCCCTCATGGCAAGGAGAGCATGGGTCTGGGAAGCAGATGAAGGGATGGGTAGATGTGGAGATAGTTGAGGTCTGTGGGTGTTGGTTGGGTAAATGAGTGAACATTTGAATTACGGGTGAGGGGTAGGGTGGATGGGACATAGGCAAATGAATAGGTTAGCATTTGCTAGATGTTTGCACTTGTAGGTGAGTAGTTAAGTAGGTGGTTGGCTGCGATGGGTATGTCTGCCTAGAAAAGGCCCATATCGTAGTAGGAAATAAATATTTGAATTGAGTATGTGGTTATATATGTTGTATGAACATTTGTTAAAGTGTCCTAAGACTTGTGCTGGGCAGTGGGGAAACAGTAATGAATTAGACAGGACTCCTGTCATCAGGGAACTTATACTCTAGTGGAGAAAAGTAAATATGCAATTGAGGGATTGATGGATATTTGGGTAGCTGGATGAAAGGTTCTATGTAGAGAAGAGTGGGGTCGTATGGATAAGTAGGTATTTACTTGGGTGATGGATGGATAGATAGGTAGATAAGTCATGCACAGGTGAGTTGAGTGTATGTATATTCAGACGGCTGGATGGGTATGGGGATTTGGGAGGGTGACTAGCTGGCTAATGGGATCAGATGTTGGTTATGTGGTGGATGGATGAGTAGGTAGATGGGAGGTGGGTGAGTAGTTTGTTTTGAGTGGGTGTTTGGATGAATGGATGGGTAGGTGTTGGAGAGGTGGATGGATAGGTGGTTAGTTGATTGGGTGGGTAGATGTGTAGTTGATCATATGAGTGTATGGATGAATGGGTGGGGAAATGAATGGGTGGTTGGACATGTGGAGGGGCTAGGAGAAGGCAACAGGTCTATTTATACATGCATGTTAGGGTAGTTCTGGAGGCTGCAATTCTGGGGCTTAGGTGGAACAGGGGGGCTTAGAAGTGGGAACCTAGGGCAGGCTTTGGGGGCATGGAGGTGCTGAAGTCCAGTGTGGATACAGAGGAAGGAGGGAGTGAGCTTGTGGTTGGAAGGTAGCTGATTGGGGACTGAGGTTAAGGATTGGCTAGGTGGAATTCTCAATGATCTATGAGTGACCCATAGAGGAACTTCTCTGCCCCTCCCCACTCTTCTGGTGCTATTAGCGAGCAAAGCATTGGAAGAACCGGTGGGGGTAATGAAGAGTCATTGGGGGCAGAAGGACAAGAGTGTTGTCATGGTAATAGTCTCTCCCTGGACACTCAGACTGTGGGGCCCTTTAAGGGTGACCTGCCTGGCCACACCCAACATGGCGCGCGCTCGCTGATCGCTCCCCCTCCCGG